CATTCTGGACTAGCTGAAGTCGCCGGATGCTCTTCAAGGGCAGCCCCATGTAGAGCACATTGCAGTATTCCAGCCTAGAGATCACAGAGTTTGTGTTTTTGTCTGTTTTCTTTGTGGATGTTTGGTGGTGATATTCTCTGTGGCTCTTGTGAGTGTGGGCCTGGTGTCATTCATCATGTTCGGGACTCATTTATCAATAAGAGTTTATCTTTAGAGTTTATTAATGAATGTCAATGATAGATACAACATTATGTGCCCTGTGTGCAAGAATGTTCAGCCAGCCACAACTTAAAACATGTTTCTAAAATTCAAAGGAAATTGCTCTATAGACTTGGCACTATATTTTTGAATGCGATAAGGTTCCGATATTAAACATTAAATCCCTTTATCTGAGTATCTTCAGGGCAGTCTTCAACCAAGTACCTTTTAGATCTCACAGGGAATAGCTGCTAATGATTCCATACTTTGAAGCGTGAGAGTAGCTGGAGCTTGGTGGCACTGCTTCTCTAGCAATGTGGTTGCTTTGGAGTGGCCTCCTCTTAGAGATTAGACTTGCCCCCTCCCTACTAGCCTTTTAGAAGCTATTAAAGAATTAAAAACCCAATTATTTCAGAGAGCATTTTCATGATTTTACTGACTTTATTTATTGCACCATTTTTATTATTTCATTATTTTATTTATTGCCATCTCAGTATTCTACAAATATATTTCAATAGACCTTTTTCCACATTTCCATTAATCCTGGGGCCTATATTTTAATGAGGTAGGCGGGCCGTAAGATTCCAAGGTACAGTTGGTTGTTGCATACATCCCACTCATCCCTCACCTGTCATTTTCCATCTTTCTCTTTTTTCTCCCATCCTAGCAATTCAGAGAAGGTGGTAATAGCCAATATTCCAATAACCAACAAAGATTCCCTTTGTTGAAAAGGACAGCCCTGCTCTCCTTTGCAAAAAGTCAGTCAGTGGCTCATTGCTTTTGTATCAGTGCTTCTCTGTGGAAAAGGGAGGAATGTAGGACTTGGCTCACATTCTTGTTAATAACGATATTAAGCTACTTGGCATGCTTACTACTGGTCTGTTGACTGCTCCCTTTTCCATCCCTCTTGCCATCTGAGGCTTATATATGGCTTATTTTGATACCATCCTCCTACAAAGCTTCCAAAATCTGTGCTAGATAAAATAACATTTCCATTGCTTTTTCTATTCAATATATCCCACTGCCCACGTATTTCTTTAACATGCTATATTGACAAATGCCATGGTTATATGGGGCTAAATTACCCAACAGAGCCTACTACTGTTTGTATTTTTTTTATTGCTGTGTAAGCTCTCTTTCCTTTGTTTAACCCTTATTCTTTGTTACCTCTGGCTCCAATATCATGCTGTGCTTTTTTTTTCTAAATTAGATCTAATCCCTGCTGAGATTTATTCCTGAATAGACATGAATTTTTCTGTTTAACATTCTTGATCAAAAGCTTTGTTGTTGGCTCACTTGGGCCAATTCCACACACTTAAGTTTTCTAGTGGGAATAAGCTAAAGCCCAGAGTCTGCAAATCACTGGGTTTTGTGATCTTTTAATATTGGATAGTTTAAGATAATAGCTGATTTTTAATTTAGAGGCCCTTTCAATACAAAATATTATTATTTATATTACTTCCATAGTTATACAAAACTATATAGTATATACTATCATCTGCATATTTCTTTTTTAAGCTCCAAATGAGAAAATGAAACAAGTTTTAAAAGCAACAGTAGAAGAAGCCAAGGCATTGATTTCTAAGGTAAGGTACAATATTATTGGTGTGAAATATAATTTAGGAGCTATGTTAGACAATTATTCTTAGTCTTTTCAAAGAATAGCAGGAAGTCCAATTCTAAAACAAACCACTAATTGAAGTAAGCTTGTATTTATTTAATTGCACTTTCTTAATTAAATAACCACATTTCTGGATTCACACCTAATGCATTATAAAAGATTTTTTTAAAGAACCATTTATTTATGTATTTATTTGACTATCATATAATGTAGGTACTATATAATCATGTAAACTCTGTAGTTTAGTACAATAAAATCCATAATAATAAAAAAGCTAAATATGCTTCAACCCCCATTAAAAATTTGTCATTTCAAACTTTACAATTAACCAGAATTAAAAGTTACCTAAAACAAAAAGGCAGTCCAGTTCTACTCTTTACACCTGAATACCTATCACAATAGGCCTATTTTTGCCAGCAACTTGGGAATAAGCAGTTTCATGAAGCTAATATTTGAAAGACAGGTTCATAGTTCAAAAGAAACTTGAACACTGGGTGCTATTCAATGAATATTATGCGGTGATAAATGTAAAGTTCAACACTTAGGAAATATCAGATGCACAGGTACACAATAAGTAATCTCCACTTTAACAAAAATGTTTAATATAATTAATTCTGAAATAGATGATAAATAGATAGTAGATAATGCTAATAGAGAAATGTCATTCTAAAAATGGGAAAATGTTTTTGTTATTTGGTTTTATCTTATACTGTACTGTCTCATTGTAAATTTCAGAGAAAATCTGGGTGCATTTTATACACTGAATACAACATTTTTTGCCTCCCAAAACCCCGCCCCCTTCACCAAAATGGCCATGCATAGCCCTTAGGAGACTTTCAGAGTGCTCCTGGGGGCTGGGAGGGCAGAAATGAGCGAAAAATGAGCTGTTTTTGCTTGATTTTGCCCCCCCCTCAATCTCCAGGAGCACTCTATAAGCCTCCTAAAGGCTATGCATGCCCTTTTTTTGAAAAAAAAACAAACAAAACCATTTTTGGGAGGCCTGCAGAGTGCAAAAGCTTTTTTTTAAATTGCCTCTTCAAAATCTTGGTGCGTCTTATACTCCTAAAAATATGGTAATTGTTCGGTCAGGAAATTTCTCCCTAATTCTAGGTTACTTCTCTTCTTGATTAGTTTCCATCCATTGCTTCTTGTCTTACCCTCAGATGCTTTGGAGAATAGCTTGACTCCTTCTTCGTGGCAACCTCTGAGATATTGGACCACTGCTATCATGTCAGCCCTACCTCAATTCCCGTTCTTTATATGTTTTAGCCTCTAGTCCCCTAATCATCTTTCTAGAGTCTCANGTGCCTAAAAGGTTCGCCATCACTGGTATAGAATCTCCTGCTTGAGCAGGGGGTAGGAGACCTCCAAGGTCCCTTCCAGCTCTATTCTGATTGATTGATTGAGATGCACCAATAATGGAGAATATCTGCAGCTCAGGGTTGAAATGAGGGGTTGAGGAAATGAGGGGCCCCTGATTGAGATGTTTTCCTTTTCCTTGTTTTTTTAAATTCTATTATTTCACTTTCGCTTTGTTTAACGCTTTATTTCTTTGGTTTTTAATTGTTGTGAGCCGCCTAGATTAGCCTGAGGCGAGATACGTGGCCAATAAATTTAATATTTATTTATTAAACTTATCGGTACTAATATAAAACTCCCACAAGGATAGTAGGGAATAAGAAAGCAGACAGTAGCTGCAGTCCGTTTTGAGGCTATACAGTTCAGTGACCCCGCCTTCAGCCTCAGGCAAAAGGTTGCCCAGAAAATAGTAATATATAAACTCAGAGGCCGTCTCCAACGGCTCCAACCCGCAGATCAAAGAGCTTCCGGGGGCTCGCGCCTTTCCCCTCTCTTCAGCAAAGCGTGTTTCTATAGCAACACTAAACGGCCAATGAAACGCGTTCTGCCCCTTTTAGAGGCGGTGTGGGTGTCTGAGTGACGGGGAAGTTGCGGTCCTTCGACGAGGTCATCGTCGAGCTCCTTTCTAGGATTGGCTTTCAGAACGAAGGCTTCCTGGGTCAAGAGTAGCCTTCGGTGCACCGGTCAGGAATCTGCGAGTCCCGCTATTGCCGAACTTCTGCCGGACTAGAGAGGAAGTTCGGTCTCCAGGCTTAGTTATAGGTTGACCGATGCAGGTGAGAAATGCTTCATCATGGCTGTTGGGGTGATCGAGAAGGTTCGGATGTTCAGAAAGCCACTGCGTCTGTTGGTTGCCATGGATACCGACTACAGCACATTCTTCGCCCTTTCTCAGGCTCTTTTTCTTTCGCTTTTACTTATTTCTTCAACAGTTGTGGCAGATGAGTTTGATAAATGCAGTCGATTATTTATTAATCAAAAGCTGGTAGTGGGTTTGAGGCCATGGTTATTAGAGAAGCTTGAAATTCCAGGGTGATGAACAAGGCATTGAATGCTCTATGTTGCAGAATCGGAAATAGATTTTGCAACTTTGTACTATCAAAGAATTCTGTAACAATATTCATATGCTGAATTTTCAGTGCTATTGTGTGGAAAGCACTAGGTGCTGGGGAGGAAAGGATTCATACATCTGTGAGCTAGACATCAATGGCAACAGATCTATTTTAGCTTTATTTTTTAAAATAATCATTTGTGCGGTTTCTAGTTATATAATTATTTTTGGTATTGTTTGTTTAATATAGTTTTAGGCTGTAGATATCTCCTGATGATTTGTAGATCACAAATGTCAGGTTTATAAAAATCTCAGTATGAGATCATCAAAGATAATTACATTTTATGAGCTTTCTTCAAGTGAAGTTTTCTGGGGATAAAAATAAGCATTATAAAGTTGATTTGTCAATCCTAAACCGCTTAAAACTTTAAAAGCTAAAATCAATATTTAAAATAGCTTAAAATGCACCAAATCCCATGAACTATGGGCTAATGGTGAAAGTACTTTATGTCCACATTCTACACCTCTTGAATTTCTGAACTGTCTTTAAAAGTAGCATCATATACTGTCCTCAGTATCAGTACTGAAAACTGAAAGCAAGTTCAATTTTTACCTATTTCAGCAACTGCACTTATTTAGAAAGAACTTTTACTATTATCACTTGATCTACCCTGAGGTTCATCACTTTAACTGTAATTGCCCCTGTTGATTCTGAACTCAATCAAAATTATGTTCAATTACAAAATGTTCAATGGCCTGTCTGAGATCAGGCAATGGTAATTAGAGGAAGAGTTGATTTGAGGGGTCCTTGGCGCTCTCTGAACTGGATTGTTTTCTTAGAGATTTCATTACCCAAACTAGGTAACATTATCGGTACTGATAATGTTACCTAGTTTGGGTAATGAAACTTCTGCAAGAAAATAACCAAGCTCAGAGAGCACCAAGGACCCCACATTTTAACCCTGTGCTACAAATATTCTTTATTGATTATAATCTGTAAATTGATATGTTTTGATTCAAGTTCTAGACAATTTATTCTGTACTTTTATGTAGATCTTGGCAACACTGGACAATAATGCGGAACTTAATTGTATCACACATAAAACTTGCCATGGAATGGAAAATAGTTAACCTTCTTAGACAATGCCAGGAAGGAGTGTTGTGCTACACCTTCTAACTTTGATCCAAAACATTGCACCAATATCAAAAGCTGTTGCAAGGTTCAGGGCTATCAGTGTTGTATTCTGGGAGGCGGGGATCGTGCTGTGGACAGGCAATGACATCTTGGTGGTGATGAGAAAGGGAGATGTGGTAGGAATGTGGGGTTGCCTTTCTCAGGGAATATGGCATCAGTGTTTAGTGCCAATGTCATATTACAGTTTCCTGGTTTCTGTCCCATTGCCTAGTCATCATAGCCAAGGAGGCCCTGGTACTCAACTGTTGCTTTTCAGTGCCAGGTTCATTGTAATAAAACCTCTCTCATCCATTATTTAATCTGGGATGAAAAGGCTTGTCCAAAATGCATTACCAAGATCTGGTTTGGACAGAATTGGGGTGAGGGGTAACCAGCTCAGAAATGTTCAAGTAGAGCACCCCATCCCCATCTCTCTTTAAAGGTGAGGCCAGGATACCATTATATTAAAGCAGAATGAATTTATTGAACAAAGGACAAATGGGATGCAGAACCTCTTATATATAATGTCTCTATTGGATTAGCTGTTTTTTATTTATAGTATGTTACCCACATTATTGGTTATTATCATTATACTTTGACAAAATTACCGCTGTTGATTGGATTGGTTAATGTGTATTTTAATATTTAGAGTGGGAAGATCAATGAGATCACCTTTTCCTGCTTGCATAACAGAAGCCTCTAGTTAAATAATAAGTATATTGTTTATGCTTCATATATATCTTAAATATGTATACATCCCAAAACTAACTCACATTCTTGCAGTTAACACTTTCACTTATCTTGTTAGCACTTTGTTACTTTAAACACAGCTAGGAATTTCAGGCTCCAATTCACTTTTTCCAAAAATACAAAGGATCCATTATGTTATTAATTCTACTCTAAAGCAATAGCAATATCACTTGGACATATACCGCTTTACAGCCCCCTCTAAGCAGTTTACAGAGTCAGCATATTGCCCCCAACAATTTGGGTCCTCATTTTACCCACCTCGGAAGGATGGAAGGCTGAGTCAATCTTGAGCCTGGTGAGATTTGAACTGGCAAATTGCAAGCAGGCAGCAGAAGTAGCTTGCAGTACTGCACTGTAAACACTGCCCCAGCTCATTAAAGCCCTTTAAGGCTCTTTAATAAATAAAATTGGAGTTTCTCTAAAAATTAGTGCCAAATTCTACTTTAGTGCCTAATTGGGTTTTGTATATGGCATTAGCTACAACCTCAGCGTAGAGGGTTGTCATCTAGGAGACCTTTTGACATTCATGAGTGTTGTTCCACAGTTAATTGGATGTAAGATCCTATTAGTAAATTAGTGTTCTAGATTAGATGCAATTGCCACCTTGCTACTTAATTGCTTTTCTATCCAAACTGCTGGATGATGTTTCCAGGTTGGCAGTGTAGTTTCCAAGCCTTATCATTTTGTGGGTCTTCAATCTTCCTTCTCTAGACCAGTGTTTTTCAACCTTTTTTGTGCAAAGGCACACTTTTTTCATGAAAAAA